GACTGATTTTGTGTTTTTCTGGTTATCAATATGTCATTTTATGGTATACTGAGAGGACTGGTTCCGTGTTTTTATGGTTATCAATATGTCATTTTATGGTATACTGAGAGGACTGGTTCTGTGTTTTTATGGTTATCAATATGTCATTTTATGGTATACTGAGAGGACTGATTTTGTTGTTTTTTATGGTTATCAATATGTCATTTTATGGTATACTGAGAGGACTGGTTCCGTGTTTTTATGGTTATCAATTTGTCATTTTACAGTATACTGATAGGACTGATTTTGTGTTTTTTATGGTTATCAATATGTCATTTTATGGTATACTGAGAGGAATGGTTCTGTGTTTTTCTGGTTATCAATTTGTCAGTTTACGGTATACTGAGAGGACTGGTTTTGTTTTTTCGGGTTATCAATTTGTCAGTTTAAGGTATACTGAGAAGACTGGTTTTGTTTTTTCGGGTTATCAATTTGTCAGTTTGGGGTATACTGAGAGGACTGGTTCTATGTTTTTTTGGGTTATCAGTTTGTCAGTTTGTGGTATACTGAGAGGACTGGTTCTGTGTTTTTTCGGGTTATCAATTTGTCAGTTTGTGGTATACTGAGAGGACTGGATCAGTATTTTTTCAGGTTATCAATTTGTCAGTTTGCGGTATACTGAGAGGACTGGATCAGTATTTTTTCGGGTTATCAATTTGTCGGTTTGTGGTATACTGAGAGGAATGGATCAGTATTTTTTCGGGTTATCAAAACAAGAAAGGAAGTTGGTCATCCTTTTCCCATTCAACTTTAAATTTGATAGTTGGGGGAAGTTGATTATGGTTGTTGAAAATACTTTTAAAATCACTTCTTTTATTTGGCCACACAGAAAATATATCATCAACATATCGAAAAACAAGAAATATTTGATAGATTTATATTTATCGAAGGAAATAATTCAGTTTCAAAATATTCCATGAAAAGGTTTCACAGTATTGATGACAGTGGATTTTCCCATGGCAATTCTGTATTTATATCTAAAATACTTACCAAGACAGGCAAATACATTGTTGTTTAAACATATTTTGAGAAGAGAGATAAAGGTGTCAATGGGAACGGGCAAAGATTTGTTCAGTTCAGGTAATTTTCTTTCAAGAAATTTTGATCAGGCTATCTTCTGTGTCCCTCACAGGGAATTGAATTCCAGATTTTAGCATTATAAATCCATAAATTTACCTCTGTTCCACCAGAGGACTTACTGTCCTTTGAACACTGTCTAACTAATATTCCCCAAAACAAGTTGTAAATAATTTGGTGAATGTGTAGCTCACATTACCCTATCAAATTACAGTAAAGCACAGGCTGTTCACGAGTTGCTTGAAAGCTTATCTCATGAAAATTTTATTTTACCTTATATAATCTAAAAGTTCATAATTTTTATATTTTAGTTACTTTTATAATAATAAATCAAGAATGCACATGAAAAACAAGAAATATAGTACTTATATAGGTATTCTTTTTTTTCTGCTGTCAACTGTTGATGAAACTTAACTCTACATATTTATACTAATGATACTACTGCACTAAATATTTTTTATTTAATTACATAATACACCAAATAACACAGAATAATAACACATATAAAACAAACAATGTTCTATAACTATCACAATTTTTCTGGCTTTCTAACTATACAACATGAGCCATTAAAAATTCAGCTAAGCTCGTCAATGTCTAGAGAAAATAACAAAAACAAATGATAGATTAAAACTTTAGCTTTTTATTGATTATAAATAATATAGTATTAAATGTCAGAGAAAACTAAATAGAGGAAATGACAGGTGGGCATGGCAAGATGGGTCTCATTTTCTGGTTTATGGCTCTGTAACCAAATAAGATTGAAGGCTATAAAAATATTCTTTGCCTGAGGGATGACAACATTATAATGAGTAATTTACATTAAACTTTGTACTTCTTGGAGGGGTGGTAAATACATTAGAGATGATGGGATGCCTAGAGAGTAAATGTCACAATTATCATACTAAGGGAAATTGAGGATTTATTCTTATAAAATTAAGGTTTAAAACTTATATAATATTAAAATATGGATAATTAACGATGTTTTGATGCCAAGTTTATTCATATACCATGATAATAAAATACTTTAATTAAATTTTGAACTTAAAAAAACCTTGTGACATGCTCAGAAAATGATGCCTGTATGGAAAGATTTAAGTTTGTTAACAATAAATCCAGTTCAAAAATGATTACATATTTTCTGATTCATTGTTTCAATTTTACAACTTTTTACTCTGGTATTTGAGGTCAAAGAGCATTTTATGTATTTAAAAAGTACTATATTTGGCATAGTCAATACGTTTGTACAAGGTTTTATGCCAAAAAATCTATAAAAAAATAATTCAATAGGAGTCAGGTTCAAACCTTCAAATTGAAGAAGAAAACACCAGCTTTCACTGCCAGACTATACTGACTTATTGGAAAGGGGGAGGAGATTTTCCTAGATGTGCATATTGGTGAAAGTTCCCAACTTTACGGCAGAATTACCACATGGGAAAAAATGGTCCTCAGATATGGATTAGGGCATAAAAATGCACAAGTGAAATATTATTCTGAGTATTTTGGGGAGTGACAGTTGCCAATTTATCTGTGTTAGTTCTCTAATCAAATATTACACAAACAGCTGTTCTTCAAATTTTACACCAGCATGTTAAGGTCTGTACACAAATCCTGAACCAGCAGGTTAAGTTTGGTATACAAATCTTACACCCAAAGCTAACTTCTGTAAGCAAATCTTACACTAGCAGGCTAAGTTATTCAAATTGTATATGGGAAGGATAAGTTTTCTAGAAAAATCTTATACCAGCAAGCTAAGTTCTGTAGATTAACATTTCTCAACCTTCTCAATACCAGGATTTGGTTTGCTGCCTCCATAAACTGTTCAGGATCACTAAAATGCAAGTACAACAACAAAACATTACAATTCACATGTGAATATTTTGTCAGGTTTATTATTTGTTTTTGGAAGATTCCATGGCAAGGTGACACTGACAGAACGACACTGATTCATCGACCTATGGTTGAGAAACACATCTTAATATTAACATGGTGTGTTGTAAACCTTACTCAGGTACTATGATTTACCTTCAATCATACCAACTCATGTATTGTGTAACCTGGTGTGATGTAAACCTTACACAGGTACTATGATTTACCTTCAATCATAGCAACTCATTTATTGTGTAACATGGTGTGATGTAAAACTTACTCGGGTACTATGATTTACCTTCAATCATACCAACTCACATATTGTGTAACATGGTGTGATGTAAACCTTACACAGGTACTATGATTTACCTGCAATCATACCAACTCATGTATTGTGTAACCTGGTGTGATGTAAACCTGACTCAGGTACTATGATTTACCTTTAATCATAGCAACTCATGTATTGTGTAACCTGGTGTGATGTAAACCTTACTCAGGTACTATGATTTACCTTCAATCATAGCAACTCATGTATTATGTAACATGGTGTGATGTAAACCTTACTCGGGTACTATGATTTACCTTCATTCTGAATAAGTCATGCATCATTTTACAAGCAATGATTTGTAAATCATACATAGGTATTTTATCTATTCTGAGCAGGTCATGCATGTGAAAGAAGTAACATAAACTTGTGTAAACATTTGTGACAAGAAAAATGTTTTAGCATGCATCTAAATGCCATAGATCCCAGCAAGCCCCAACACCACACCTTCTCCACATCCTCCTGGTCCACCTCCAGCACACTGCCCTGAGCATCTAGTCTCACCCACAGCTTGCCCTCTGATGGGGGCAAACTCGGGGACTCTTCAGCTGTCAGAAGATGAGCTCCAGCAAAACCACCTTTGTGAACAAGCCAAACCTGGTTTGTTTGAAGCCATGCACGATCCGCCGCCAACTGCTCAGCTGACTTGGTCTAGAAAAGTTCAAAAATAAACTTTAGTCAACATTTCACAAATATAAACCACACTGTTATACAATCCTGCAACAGGGATTTGAAAAATCTGCTGATTCATGGAAATCCATGTAATTCACTTGAAAAATATGAGTCCTGATATTCTAGCAAATCATCAAAAGCACCCTTATATCTAATCATACAGTAACAGAACATGAAAAAAAAATCTTGCAAAATTATATACGTTCAAAAGTCTTTAGTAAGATTTGTGCCTTGATGGTATGAAAAATAATGTACAAATTACATGCAAGGTTTACTGGATTTATCCTTTTCCATTTCACATCCCTGCTGCAAGTGATATTTACTCTCTAAAAACTATCACTGTTTAGTTTATCAAGTTTCCACTAACTACTATCACACTAATTCATATTTTTTCCATATAAAGGAGAAATTCTCAGCTTTTGGATATATCACCATTATTAAATCTATCCAATTTAAACTAACAATTAAATAACAGAAGTAAATTATTGATCACATAATAAATGCTCGTGAATAATAATTACATGAAAACAAAATGAAGAACTGGTAATTTTCAAAAACTGGGGTACAGCAGTTTCAAATATCTAAAGTCACGCTCTAAATTGTGTATAGCTTAACGGTACATGTTTTACATCAGAAAAGAATGAATACTTAACATTAAAACTATCACATAATTTTCTGTATTGCACTCAGTATTATATTTAAATTAATAACACTGCATTTAAAAATATCACCAACAGGGATCCAGACACGCACAGAAAAACCTGTGCATTTTATACACTCAAAAATAACGATGTATGCAAAGTGAAAGGTCTGTACATTTAGTGTACATAAATGTTTTATTTTTTTGAAGTTAACTTTATATTCTTAGTATTCACTAAACCTAATTAAGCTTATTTGATATTTTGTCACAGAAAACATTCTGTAGATTTCAGACAGACATAAGTTAACACAAAAACATTTTCAGCTAAAAAAAAAACACCAGAAGAATCTATACAAAAATTCCCATGTCTGTGTTTGTCCCCAAGTCTCCTATTTTTCTCCTTAAATAACATTCATCCTGGCTTCATGTAATTACTTTCTCATAAAACAATAAATCACTGTTGAAATCATTATATTCACTCTACACTGACATTAACAGTTTATAATCTCTCCCATTCAATGGTATTTAAAGTTACCTATAGCTGTTTTCAAAGCCGTGTTTCATTCATAATTGTTGAGACCACATAATGTGACATCATAAAATGGTGCGAATAAAATCACTAACAGAAAAGGAAAATCATGTGAGAAACAAAACATGGATAATTATATTACAAAGAGATGAGTTTCTTAGCAAATATAAACCTATACTTTTGGATGGGGAGAAAAAGTCAAAAGAAAATTAAAAGATTCATTGTTTATGAGTGAGACTCCTTGGAGCTGTGTGGAATTACAATTTTGAAAATGTTTCTTTGAAAATTATGTTAAATAAATGTACAATTAAAAATATTAGTTCTTAAAAATTACTATATATATAAGTATGTAACACTTTACGCATTCTTCAGAAAGTTATGCATTTGCAAAATGTAATTTTGAAAATGTAAGTGCGACGTCTGCACCAAAAATACCACCAGGATCCCATCCATAACTTAACTGAGGCAAGTTTAGATCAGAAAAAAAAAAGAGCAACAAAAAGCCACTCAGTGCATAAGTGTCAATCTCATCTACTAAAACAACCAACTACAAGTCAGATATTAAACGTGGCCTGTAAGATCTGTGTATTTATAAAAATAAAACACTTTAACGTATACAGCACTTCAACAAGCTATGAAACTGTTTGACAAATCAAAAAATAATTTTGTTAAAGTTAGATGAATTATGTAGATAAATTGTTGCTGCTTTGTTTAAATCAGATGCAAGTAAAATGTTCTGTTTACTTAGAAATTTTAAATGCCAAAGTAATAAGTAATCATTTCTATGCTAACTAAGTAATCCATGGTAATTCAATCCTCTAGGAGGAACTGACTGATTTTCAGTAAGCACAAAAGATAACTTTGTTTTTCATGTTATTATATACAATTTCATGAGTAACTGATTTATTATTGTAATCTTGTACAAGATCACTTAGACTACTGTGTCAGTTATGGTTCTCATACTAAAGGGAAGATAACAACAGGTTGGAAGAGAGACACTTCTACAGTTATCTGGTTTAGATCATTTAACCTATGAAGAAAGGAATCAGGTTTTCTCTGAACCACAGAAGAAAAAAAAATTATATGCAGGTGCTCAAAACTGTAAGGTTTGGATAGTCATCTTATAAGTGGTGGAATGAAAAGAAAAACTGTAAGGTTTGGATAGTCATCTTATAAGTGATGGAATGAAAAGAAAAACTGTAAGGTTTGGATAGTCATCTTATAAGTGGTGGAATGAAAAGAAAAACTGTAGGGTTTGGATAGTCATCTTATAAGTGGTGGAATGAAAAGAAAAACTGTAAGGTTTGGACAGTCATCTTATAAGTGGTGGAATGAAAAGAAAAACTGTAAGGTTTGGACAGTCATCTTATAAGTGGTGGAATGAAAAGAAAAACTGTAAGGTTTGGATAGTCATCTTATAAGCGGTGGAATGAAAAGATAAGAAATAAAAATTTTCAGGATATCAGGTTGAAGCTATGAAGACTTATATACACTTACTTCTGTCTATGCCATGTGAATAACCAATCAAAAGCTCAGAATATCCGCCTAATGGCTCTCTCGGCCATTTTCAACTATTACAACATCACCTTGTTCTTTCAATACAAATCTTGATGTTGGTAAGGCGAGTCTTTAGTCTGCTCGAAATCCCAAATACAGCTTAGTTACTAAGCTTGATAAATTATAGTGGAATTCCTTAGTATCGATATAGTAATTTATAATTTTTTGGTTATTCAACTGTATATATATATATCCTCCATGTGTGAAATTTTATAACACTCAGCAACCTATGACAAGCAGCAAACGAGTACAAAGGTCATAACTAGAAGAGATAATTGTTTACTTCTTTATTTACTGTTCTATCTTTTAAGAAAAATAAGTTTAAGAACTTGTTTGTAACTTAGTAATAATGTATCATATATAATGTATAATAACTGAAATGTGACTGTATTTTATAAAATACTAGTCCACTAAAACACAGCCAAGACAGGTCACACTGTAAAGACTAAAGGTCAATTTTATATTCTTAAAAAGAAAGAGTTAATAAAATTCTAAACTTGGAATGTAATCAGGACCATTAAAAAAATGATTAAACTACTTGATTTACTTTTAAAATCATTTAGAAAATCAATGGCATCAATACTAATGATTAAATAGGGTGGGTGGGTAAAGGTATGGTAAAATAAAACAGTTGCACCAACAAAAGGATGTCAAAAAGCAACAGGTAACAGCATTACCACTATGCATTAAGAAATTAATCACTAACTATTTATGAAAATTAAAGGTAGTTATACATTTTTCAAACATACAGGAGAATACAGTGTACATTAAGCTGCAATGAGACATTTTACTAAAGATAAATCTATTTCAAGAATAAAAGTTACATTCAAAAACTATGCACTTTACACAAGTTTGTACCATTTCCTGGCACATGTCTGATAAGGCATTTCAAACAACATAAAAATATAACTAACATCTATATTTAAATGTTCCTGTTACATCAAACTCTAATAGACTACATTAATATTACTCGTTTCTGTGAATGCCAATAAAACAATCTGTTCATAAACTAAAATAAGTAAGTATGAATTCTCGTTTTATCACAACTTAAAATCCTAAACACTTCACAGTAATCTGTAGAGATTGAACTTACTTGAGAGCTGATTCTAGAACTTCCAATTTCAGGTATTTTATATCAGAAACTAGATTAAGTAAGGACAATGAATTCTCCTACATAAACAACAGAAAATTCTAAACACCTTTTCACGGGTGATCAGTGTGGACTGTACTTACTTGAGACCTGATTCTAGGACTTCCTACTTCAGATCCATCAAAGCCACATTGGACAGTTAGTTCACTGAGTTCTGGAACAGGTTGAACTTTCAAAGTAACACTATCACCAGAAGTCTTAATCAGTTCTATAATGTCTTCCCTGCTTTTATTTTCAATTACCACACCATTCACTTCTAATAATCGGTCTCCAGGTAAGAGTCCAGTTTCATTTCCTCTTTCCAAGTTGCTCGGCTCAGCAAATATTATTGTCTGTTTTTTGTCAGTAGGTGGTAGTCCCCTGTGCTCCCCCACTGGTGCACGGCGAAGAGAAAAGCCAAAATCTCCAGCAGGCTGTCGTTGTATGGTTAGTGACCTAGCTCGAGGTGGCTTAGGTGGTGCAATGGATGGTAGCTCCAAATCATCATCGTAGCTCTTCCAAACGACATCTAGACCAGCTTGTTCTCCAGGAGGAGCAGTAAATAGTGTACGTCTCTCATCTTCCACTGAAACAGTTGGTGTAGGTTCAAGGTGCAGAACGGAACTTTTACTGGATTTTGCATTTCCCATTTGATCCATTAAAGCCATCATTTCATTAGCAAGGCTTCCTTGAGGTGATGACAAATTACTAGTTATGCTAGGTGATTTTATAGGCGATGTACATTGCATACTTGAGTATGATGATTTTACATGTAACCCTAAAGGTTTTTTTGGAACAGGAGGAGGATGCTTTACAGGCGAGCTACTTTTTCTTGAGAGAAATCCCACTCCATGGCCTTCCATGGGACTTGAATCTCCAGACTTAGCAGATGATGATAAGCTATACTCACTACCTGTACTCCTCTTCTCAGAATTCTCATCATCACCCCCAGCTGAATTTGGAGATTTCTGGTATGAAGAAAGATAGTTTTTAGTGATTTCATTTGTGCGCTTCAACTCGTCATATGTAAGCTTCTCTCTTTGTTTCCCATGCTTCTTTTCCTTTTTCTCTTTCTTTTCTTTCCGATCTTTTCCTCTTTTATCATCTTTGTCCTTATCCTTTATCCACCGAAACATTCTTTTTACTAGAAAAACTTTTCCTTTAAATAAGAAAAAAGAAAACATTGATTACTATAAAAATATCAAGTAAAACATGTTAATATAAAATCATGGGAACATTATAAGACCTTTTTACCAATCTCACAAAAAAGGCTTTGCAGATTGTTGCTTTCTTGGTATATAAGTGACCACTGATCTACAAGTAGTGTTCACTATGGATCATTTAGATATAATACATAACAAGATATTTAAACTCAAGTATTCTGCAGTTGACTTTACCCAATAAGTTCAAGTATTGTGCAGTTAGTGACCTAGAAGTTTTGTCTGCAACTACCTATTGAGATATAGATGGATAAAGATGGGGATGAATGGATGTGAAAAAAACTTTCAAGAGCAAAAAATACCAGCCTATAGAACTGTATTATTCACTTTTCCAAAACTTGGATTCAATATGTCTGTTAAATCTGATAAACTCAACCATGTTGTAAGATAAAGTCTGGATGATGGGGAGATAGGACTGTGAAGATAAGCATTAGAGACATCAAACATGGTCATCCAAAGCCTTGGGGAAAAAGACCATAGGAAGGTAAGAAGACTTATCACGGTAAACCGATGGAGATGGAACAGAATGATGACTAGATGCAATCCCTGAGATACCGGGGAAAGAACAAACAGATTGGAATAAAATCCCATAGAAGGGTGAACAACCTTGGCCAAAAGGTCTGACCACACCTCATAGAGATGTTTGTAAGGGGACATGATCCCCTGAAGAAGGGAAAGGAATGAGAACAAGAGACAATGGGTGAAGACAGGAAAAACGAAGGGTAAAGCCAATGAATAAAATCTAAACCTGTTGCCCCCAAGATTTGGTCAAAAAAGGAATCCATAGATCCAAAAATTGAGCCAAATGGGCTCCCACTGTGCCTGAGCCTAAAGATAGTTACTGATGTGAATGACAGTGTTCAAACCTACAGACAGTTGATGAATGGATCAGAGAAGAGGAATGGAATGAAAAATAGGGAGTGGAAAGAAGTCAGCAGACCACAACTGGAAGAAAATAAGCTCAGGAAAGACAGGACACAAGGGTATTCTAGGAAAAATTTTGTTGTGCAGCCTCAACCCATGACTACAACGACTCAGGTACTCAACCAAAAATCCATAGGCAGAGGAGAAAAGGAGCCAGACGAAGGTCCTGGAGATATGAAAGAGGTAGGCATACTTGGGCCTGAAGGGCACCCCCTCTTCAATAAATCCCAGCCACAGATAACCAAGTTAGAAGGGACAAGGCTGATGATAGATAATGTAAAAGGATAGTGAGGGGATGGAAAAAGCAAAAAAACTGAGCTTGTAAGCTTGAGAAAAATAAACAGAGGACAATTGATCAGAACCCTAAGCCAAAAGAAGATACTCAAGTGTTGTGAACCTAAGAAAAGGGCTTCAGCTCGATTGCAAGTCAAGGAGGACAAGGCATTGAGGTTACTGGCACCAGAATACAGTTGAGCCAAAAACATTTTCTGCATAGACTTGGATATCAGGGCTTCTAAGGAGGAAAAACATAATATTCTGAAGTTGGGGCTGAAGAAGAAATAGAAAAGAGTGAAAAAGTTAACATACCTGAGAAGAAAAATCATAGAAGGATGCAGTATGTAGAAGTAGACCCATGTCTGCACTAGAAGAATTGTTTGCAAATTTAAGCAGTAAGAAAGACTGCCTAAAATTCATATCCTCACAGATGGGAATTATATGAGGAGATACGTCTGTGTAAAGGCCTGAAAAGGGCCCAAGCCACAAGCAAGACTCCACCACCTGCCACACAATAGCCATAATGTCCCTAACAGACATTGTGGTAGTCAGTCTAGAGTAAACACAGTCCAGATGTTCAACACTAGACTGTGTGGAAATGACATCTCTATGTAATTTATATTTAGAAAATAAGAGCCATGCAGAAGGGACGGAGTGCTAGATGAAGAAGAATATGAAGAGATGGTTGGGAGTTCCTGGTTGTTTGAACAATGTTGCATTATACAGCTGCTGCAAAAAGTTGGATGTTGCCAGTGAAGTCTCTTGTAGAGGTATTTCAAGGTATCCAAAGCAAGATCATTCATAACTCTAACAGACTAGAAAGATCTTATGGTCAGAAATACCCAACTTGATGTCAGATATAGCAGAAAGTGGACTGCTGAGGAAGTAGTGAATGAGGCAGAGTCAAGACTCAGGCATAAGGAAATTACTGGAGCTACCCAAGTAGGGTGCCAGGGTCTGGGAGGGTCAAAGCATAAATGGTGGTCATCTGCTGATGACCAAGAGCAACATGAGCTAGCTTCTCAGGAAGTTTGTGAAGCTGAGGAGGAAAAGAGACTGACAATAGCAGTTGGCCAGGCCAAACAGGGTCCTTGGACAAGATGGGAATCTGTACTGCAGCAAATTTTATCATGGAATGTGCTATAGAGGATTGAGCTACTTAGAATTTTATTCCTCTGGTGATCTACATATGATTTTCTCCCCACGCCATCCAACTTAAGTGTTTGGAATGATTACAAGTCAGATTTATGTCATGCTTGTGGTAGGAAGGGAATGTTGCAGTATGTTCTGAGTTCATGCTCATCAAATCTACCTGGCAGCATGTACACCTGGCATCATCATAATGTACTCTGAGTGACTGTTGATGCAGTCAGAGAGAGAGCGCAGAAGTTTAATGAAGAAGAGGAAGCAACTGGCTCCAAACAGTTCATCATCTCATCAAAGAGAGTCTTGGACCAGGTAATTATGGCAGCAGTTCACAGATAAGTAGCATACTCTCCTGTGCAAATAACTGGATGATATCAGCAGATCTTGAAGTGGATGGAAATTTTCCACCTAAAATTGCAATCACAAACCTTAGGCCAGATATTGTTATCTGATCGGCCAATCAGCAGCAAAGTGATCTTCGGTCAGCTGACTGGGTCTTAGGATATGAATTCATCCAGGAAGCTCATGAATGAAAGTTTGCCAATTATGTTGAACTGAGGTCTATTTGTGAAGATAGAGGATGGAAAGAAGCATCCTGTCTGTCTGAAGTTGGCTGTCAAAATTTCATTGCAACTTTACATCACGAATGGCTGCAATATTATTGCACATTTAGTGACTTATAAGTTAGCTTATTGGGTGAAATTTTTGACAAGGGTACCTGTAGATATCCATGTTTAATAACATGTCAAAATGGGTTAATTATTTCTTAACCATTTTTTTGGACTTAGAATATACTAATACATCAGAAAAGTATAGCTATGCCATATTCTACCAAATAGAACCTCAAATGATTAAATAAAATAGTGTTAGGGTATAAATTCAAAGATATCATGTCTAGAAATACATATTTCATCAAAATGCCAGATTAATCATATGAATAACATAAATAATGTTATACAGTATTGAAAGCCATTATATAAGCTTCATTTTCATACCACATTTATTAATACATCACAAAACTGACAGAGTTATTACAATTTTCATGATTTCCACAGCACATCTTATAACCTAGGGTACCTATGAATATCTATGCATAAATACATGTGAAAATGGGTTATTTTTTCACAACCATCCATTTCATACTTCTAAAATGCCAATGCATTAAAGAAATATGGTTTTGTTCTACTGTAGAGAGGGGGTACCTCCAATTTCTAGGTCCCTTTTGGAGAATGGCCACAGCACTATATACTTTACAAGTAAAACACAGACCACAAATTAAATGTAAACAATGAAACTGCTTTACAAAGAAGACAGGAAAATGCATTGGGTTTAATATACCTGATAATTTTAAACTATTACATAAGAAGAGATTTCATTAAAATGTGAAGAATTATCTGGGAGGGAGGAGAATTGGTAGGATAAATCCTCTGATTATTTTGTGTTGTATTCTGAAGACAACAGAACAAGAGGACACAATTTAAAGATTTGAAAGGACAGGAAAGTTTTACTTTCTAACACTGTGTCTGACTTATGGAATGAGTTGGCATTGGCAGTAGTGGAGGCTGGCAACTTACAAAAATTTAAGAGGGGTCTCTATGAATTCCAGAAAAATAAAGAGTGGGTTTAAAATTTTTAGTTTTACTTTTTCTTCCTCAGGGGTGGGTGTGTGAAAAGACAGTCCTGAATAACAAAATCATTCCTTTTTGTTTGTAAGTTATGTCAAACTGTGAAGTAAAATACAGAAAATATACAGCGAAGCACTTTGAATTTTTTTTTTTCTGTGTTGATATACATGTTGAAAAGTAAACTAACTTTTAACTTTATGCAGATAAAGTTACAAAAACTTGTAATAGGAATTAAAAAGTGAGTATGTGATTTATAAATTAAAATAAGCAAATTGCATGCTTCTGCATTTCCATGTAAAAACAAATGCAAAGAAATATTAAGATATGCATTTATAGATCATGATATTATAGATAGAAGTATTAGAACATTTAGAATAATATCTTAGTGGATGTTGATACACAAATAAAATTTAGAATTTTTTTTGGAGAGAATTGGGAAGCTAAATGACTCTTGCATCCATGCACATGCTCTCTAATAACAGGTTGACAAAGCCCATTAAATATGTTTATTGTTAAAACAACCTGCTATCAGTACAGTGAACACAAAACTTACAGAACGAAAAATTAAATACCTATGGTACAAATAAATCAATAGTTCAGATTGTTCATTCAAAAGAATACTTTTTGAACAATGTGTAATTATTTCTTATCATAAGAACATAAGCAAAAGTAAAATGAATTAAAATTGGCCCATTAAGGCTGCCCCTCAACTACAAATAAAGGAGAGTAAAAAATAAAATTGATCCCGATTATATTTTGTTCTCTTTACACTGGCTTTTCTTAGTTTCTTTAGTAATAAACAATATTAAAATGTAAAGTAATCACTACATCCTTTGCAAATACAATGTCTGGTTCAGTGCAGTACAAAACCTTCACTTTTATACTAATGATTTTCTTAAGCATAAAGATATTGTTACCCATCACTGGTGTTTTATTAAATTATTATATTCTATATCAGCTCACCCTAAGTTACATAAACTGAATTTCTTGGTGTACCTTAGTCCTATCCATAATGTTTGGAGACAGTGAGTTAAGATTCATTAATTTATTACCTATAATCAATACTTTAGTTTTGAAAGGTTTCTGCATATAAAACACAACTGTTATGTTTATTGTCTGTACCACTGAATGAAAATTTTTTTTTAAAGACAAATGTTAAATAATAATGACAGCACCCTAATGTACCAGAATGATTCCAGCACTCAAATGGTTATTTTCGGGGATAGGTTAATACCTCTGATTTTCTCTTGGGCAAAAGAAGGATAATAGATTATCTTATCAAAGTTTACAAGATTTTATTAGAGATTCATAAGATAGAGATCTTGGATTTATTTTTGCTGTATTTTGAAGATGATAGGACACAAGTTTCAGATCGGGAAAATATAGGCTATGTTACATTTAAGTTTCATTTTTCTAATAAGGTGATTAACTTATGAGTTTTTATAAAAATTGGTGGAGGCCAGCACATAAAAAATGACAACCTGAAAAATAAATGTTGGATTTAAATTGTTACTCTTCTCAAAGGTGGGTATCCAGTACCAGTCTCGAAAAATTAAATTAATTATTCTTTGTTATTTGTAATGATATATTACCTCAAACACTAATATTAGATCAGATATGGTCATCAAATTTTACTACTAGTTAATGAGAACATAAAAATCATGGCAAGCATCTTTCAGATTTATGTTGATCATTTGGTTAATGCTAAACACGAATGTGAAGATTGGAAATGGAAAATGCGTATAATGGGGTTTTCATTGTTATTGTGCTTTTGTTCTGGGTAAATTTGATGCATTTATAGATATTGTATAAGTACATAACAGAATGGGCTAAAATCCCTCAACTGACCATCAGAGTATCACCTCTTTAGTTTCAACTGGCACTGTTTGACCCAGAAGTTAAGGGGAGTGTGAATATAGTAAATGTAAGATCTCTGAATCAAATTGTTAATGTCATTTGCTTAGAAATATTCAATACTACAGTATTTTTTAAGAAATCATCATAAAATTAAATATAATAAAGTGAATTATTCAATTACATAACAGTGTTTATGCAATACAACTTAGAACATTAACTTCAAGTATATTTTGTGTTACGACTGAGGGAAAAAACCCTCTGTGAACACAATTTATTTATATTATAACTAATATAACATTATAAGTGGCTGCTCGTTCGAAATTCTGACTTTTGTTTTCAATTACAACTTCACGTTCAGTGCCTCTTTATACATTACATCAACCACCTGCTTCAAAGTTCAGAATTGGGCGTGGTTAAGTTTTACACATTTTACGAAAAAAACTTAACACAGTAGTACTACAAATTACAGTAAGGCTTACGAATAAACCGAGTATAGCTACCTAGGCTACAGTATACTGTATAGGAAGTAACAACATCAAAAGTTACGTTAATGCTTAATAACAAAAACAGTCACTAAATAAATATCTTGGTTTTATAAAATATAACAATAGATTCAAGAATTAAATCGGACAACGTACATCACTAATATTACAAATTATTTTACACTCACCTCTTAAATTATTGAATTTATCTGTTTTAAAACTTTCATACGTCTATGTTCCCATAAACGACTTGAGCGTTACCTGGCAAATAATATTTTTAACAATTATAAATCATGTTATAATAATTACTAAAAAAAATAAAATGTTTAAAATTCAACTTAACTCGTCTCATATAAGCTACAGAAAAATATTCGTAGTAATTGTTTCAGCATAAAACAGCTTCAGTTTTACATTTTCAAAATGATATAATACCTTGGCATTCTTTAACAATTTATAAAGGTGCAGTTATTTTTAAAATTTTACAGAAAATATCAGTTAAGAACATAAAAAAAAATATTTTTTACTACTCAGCACAGTGCTGCAAGATGGAGTACCTGTGTTGTGCCAACCGCGGGAATAGAACCCCGAATTTTAGTGTTATAAATCCCAAACTTACTGCTGAACTTTTGGGAAGCACGGAAGAAAAAATAAAGCGCACAGCTTTGGATAGAGTAACACTACTACTGGCTGAACATATAATTTCAGAATAAATAAAGATCACAAAAAATACTCAAAATGTTAATAATTCCGTATTTAAAAATAAAGCAAAAAAAGCTTGCTCATGATACGTTTTTACTTTCTCGCTTGTTGAATAATAACTTTTATTAAACCTTTAATAAAATCTGTCTATAACTACCTCTGATATATTAGTTATTCAAAAATCATTTTCTTCTGTAAGAATGCTGACTAGCATTTAATATGAGTTATATGAAATAAAATATACTCACACTATTTATTTGACTATCATGTGGTGTAGACCTAAAGCTGAAACTAGTCATGCAGTAAATGTATCTTTGAAATTTTTACAAGTAAAGAAGGAAATACGGATTCTTACTAAATATAAATTACTGGAAAGATTATAAAAAGATTTAAAGCCAACCGTTATTGTTACAAGTATGTATATGTACTTGTATTTATGACAAAGCTAGTAATGCAGCTTTTAGTGTCCCTGATTTTAAACTACTGGCCAGAGGAAAGATAGCTAGTCATATACTCCTTACCTTCTTTCATCCATGCTAAGTGATTGACTTTCACTTTTATAACGCAGTCACACCTTACCACAGAGCCAACTCACGTCCAAATGCCCAGGTGTAGAAATCGATAAGTGTTTGTAACATATAATTTTCTTTTGAATACTTCTAGCTATATTTCTAAAGCAAAAAAAGGTATCTTAAAATGTAATACAGAAAACTATTTTGGCATGAAATTAGCATTAGTCTCAGTTATCACTTGACAACACGAGAGTTTCCTTTTTCTCCTTTTTTTGCATAATTGTTGTTCATGATTGTGCATTATCGCAGTTATTTTTTGTGTGTGTCAAAAGCACATTGATATTACTTACACTGTTACAAAGCATATATTATACGAGACACTGACATCCCAGCATCTTATAGAATTATTTTTGAATATTGTTGTAGATAGCTTTTGATAAATTCTTACTTAAATAATAACTGAATTGTGATCCACCGATTGACGGAAGAGGGCAGTAGTTGATAAGGTCGTTTAAGAAAAATGGTGAAATTAGTAAATATAATTATAAGTATAGGCCGTTAGATTTCAACTTTGTGATTTAATTACTAATGAATCATAGACAAATACTGTTAATTGTGTTTGGTGGCTAGTTTGTTTGTTTTTCGCGAGATTTAGTGTTTTTAGCTTTTAGATGACTGTAGCCTGTACGGTAGGAAATGTTGTAAATGTAATTGTATTTTTGTAAATAAATTGTAATAACTAACATAAAATTTAACATATATGATACAACCAAGCTATGCTAATTTAGTAATTACTATTACTAGTATTACTAACATTTAAGTGCAACACTAAAAGTAAAACTTCAACAAAAGAACAGTTAAGTATTTGTGTTCAATAACTGGTATTGGTATTATAAAACTTAGTAAAAAAATGGTTATTTTTCTCAGAAACGGCTACTTTAGTTAAGAAGTTTAAATTTTAATGCTACAGTCTGCAAAGAATTCTAATTTCATTAAAAATCTACAAATCACTAGCAAAAACCTCATACTGTTATAGTTACAACTTGGAGACCAGTGGACTAGACACGGCGATAATGAGTGCAGGTAAGCCTAATGTATTAAAATTCCTGAACTGTTAATTTTTCTTATACTTGCTCCAAAGCATTAGTCAGCTACAGGGAGGATGCTGTTGTTTTACAAATGGACATAGTGAAATGGGAAATAAATGACAGATGCCAATAATTAATGGTCGATTATGTTGGACTGTAAGTGTATCTTCAAAGTTCAAGTGTAATTGATACAATGTCAGTTAGCTTTCAGTGTGAGTGTTTAATTATGCTAAGTGCAAGGTAATTCATGTGAGCTATCATGATTTCAACTATAATGACCACCTTAATTGAAATTAACTCAATAATGTTAATTGTTACAGAAGAGAATGATTTTGTTTATTTGGTCAATTAGGCACTTAACCCAAAGTGCGTGGGTATGGTCAAAATGTGCATGCCAAAACCTTTTACAGAGTTCCATTTGCATGGCTTTAATATTTTGTATTTGATGTCAGAATTATCAACTATTAATTTTACCTTACATTGTTGATTTAGTGACAGTTTGTGGTAGAAAATAAATACCAGATACAGCATAAAGTGATACTGAAGAAACTGTAGATAGGCATTCTGGAGGCTCTAGAGGCTATGTAAATGCAGTATGCAAACTGCACAATGGACAGAAGTATTTATATTCTTCACATTAACATCACTCTGCACTCCGACTTGTTAGAGCCTGAGTCAGACTGATGTTGTAAAATAGAGCACTGCCTTGAGTGACTTATCTATCATTAACTCAGTATTCTTTCCAGTCACACTGTGTAGTGTATTCTCATCTATATTGACTCGTCCTAGACCAGTGGGGTGTTATAAATATCCCTTGATGTTTTCATTCTTACAATGGAAATACATAACAAAATTTCTTGAAACTTAGTGAAAACTTTAGCATACAATTTGTTTGTTTTTTGTATAATTTTTTACTTTGTGAAATTTCCAAAATTTTGTTGTGAAATGCTCTTTTGAGAAAGAAAATGTTAAAAAAGCACCTGTTGTCCTAGGATTATTTGTTACTGTTGGTCAGAAAATTCCATTTTTGGATATCCAGGCAATTTCAACTAAAGTTTGCCAGTTGCAGTAGTCACCACCTCCAGTTAAAAAATATGGTGACAACTGAAATAGATTTGGTGACTTTAACTGTTACAGTGGCATCACTATTATATTTATCAAGCTATATAACAGTATTTTTGGTTGTAGTATTCTTGGTGGAGATCGGTTTTTATCTATATAAATATAATAGTGCTGTCTGTTGTATGTCCATGTAACTACTTCCTAGGGTATGGATGGATCTTCATCAAAACTGATATGGAGGTTCATTAGGTCCATGAGGAGAAACATACATATTTTCAGTTATGCAGTTTTTATGGGTGTTTTTTAATTTTTTGCCACTACTTTGTACCTTGTAGATGGATCTTCACCAAATTTGGTGTGGAGGCTGATTGGATCCTTGGGAAGATACAAACAAATTTTCAATTTTATAGTTTTAAGGGCATTTTTCAATTTTTACCACTACCTCACCTGCTCTGGATAGATCTTCACCAAATTTGACATGAAGTTTTGTTGGATCCATGTGGAGACACATGCAAACTTCAGGTTTCACATTTTATGTTTTGCAGTTTTATGGGCATTTTTGCATTTTTTACAATTACATATAAGGGAAGCAACTTTTCATGTCCTAAGATAACCTTTCATTAACCATGAATTTACATAACTTCCATCCAGTGGATGAGTACTCCAGCTAGTCTAATAAATATTGTTTATGGGAATAAGATAAACTTAACAATAATGTTCAAAAATAAGGATTTGAGTCTTTGAGATATTTTTCTGTTGCCTACTTTGACCTGACTAGGCTTACATGATGTCTTGAAATAGAAGAAATTTTCCACTGTTTTATAACAGATATAATGTAACATGAAAATATTTTCAGGAACAAAAAGAACATCTAAAGAAACTATAAAAAAAATCCCACATCTATTGTTTTTACTAAGTCTTCCAAATTTCTCATTAAATGTCTTTGTTCAAATTAAAGGAGCTTTAAGAGGTCACTATTAAATAAAATCATAAATTACTGCTTACACCACTTTATATATTGTACATTATAATAAGATTTTTATAATATGTTTTATCCAACAGTATTTAAACATTGTTAAAGCCAAACTTCCTTACATAGATGTTCAGACCACAAGATATGACATTGTAAAAGGAGGAGAATAAAAGCCTGTAACAGTAAAACTTTAAACAGAGAAGGAAAATCACAAGAGAAACAAAGCTTGGCTACCTGTATTCTCGAGGGATGATATTTTACTAGTAAAGTAAAAAAAAACCAGTGCTTTGAGATATGTAAAAAATTCTTAAAAAATAGATAAGTGGGTTGTTTACAGATGGAGGAGCTTCTGGCTATTGAGAAATATATGAACAATTTGTTGAAATAGAGTTATAATTAATGAAAGGTGTTGTGTGGTCCAGGAAATGTTAAACATGTGATCCACATTATGAAAACCCAACTGAATTATATTACACTTACTATTTGCCACATATTTATTCAACTGATCAATTGATCCAAGTCATTCTGTAGTACCTCAATACAGGTAGAAATACACCAGCTCATTATCAAAACACTAGTTTACTAATTATACTCTTATTAACTTCTTGCTATCTCTCACCAAGCCAATCCTCAATCCAACTTACAAATCCACACCTTTCCATCATCTAGGTCATGGCACAACCCTATGCCTAGAAATACCATCTTCGCTGTGACTAAGCTATAAAAGTTCTAAGAAACTATAATAATAATAACACATTGAATTACTATATTATGAAAGTTCTATTACATTAACTGAAAGGCATGGAAGGAGAGTTGTGAATTAACAGTTTTAATGTGAGTTATGCTTGTTTTAGGAAGCATAGTTTCTCAAAATGTGGTTTTTAGACTTGTAAATTGTAGTCAGTGATCTATTTCCACATCTTTCCTTTATCTTGTGTTGCACTTGTAAGGAAAATCCCAATTCACAGAGATATTAAAACGTGATGCTTTATAAAGCAATTTTATTGTTATTAGGCTAAATGTTATAAAATATAGAATATTGTTATTTGTTTGTAAATTTTACAGAATTAGGAGAACTTGTGTTACCACCACACCCGTAGATCCCCCTGAGGTTGCAACCCACATTATGTGAAAGCCGTATCTAGATAACTTTATTACCAACAGTTATCAACATGTCAGAAAGAGTGCAGGGAAATTTTTTGGACTGACACCTTGTTTAAATCATATAAAATATAAAGAGAGACCTAGGGTGTAGGATTTGCTTTTCCTGGAGCACAGAAGAACTAGGGAAGACTTGAGTTAGATATTTAGAGTTGTTTTGGAGTCATTGAATATCCTGGCTTGTCTGTTGGAGTCCCAGAATTAAAATATTGGAAACATGCTTTATACTAGTAGTAATATATTTATGTTTTGAGAGTCTAGGTCCAGACAAGCTCTTTAGACAGAATTTATCTTTTATGAAGGCTATAAACACCTGGAATGGCTTGCTTGATGATGTGTATGAAAGTGATCTCAATGAGCCAAATGACTTTCAGCCACCTTTCTTTCTTTTTTTTTTTTCTTTAAAGATGAAAATACCATTAATAGTGAGAATACCTAGCTGATGCCCTAAGGCAGGTTTTATTTTTCATTGTAATATTTATTAAAGAATTGTAGCTACTCTTTTGTTAGAAGTTATTACATGATTATATTCATTCTGTAAAAGTTAAAAGGTTTTTCCTCCAGCTTCAATATTTTCACTTCTTTTCTCTGCACAGAAGAAGGAAATCTGCTTGTGGTGATAGTAGATACTAACCCTTCAGTCAAGCTTATGATGAAAGGAAAGGTAAAGACATGTGTTACTGTTGAAATTTGATAATTTTACTTGTTTCATACCTACTTATTTACTATTTCATAGATCAGAGTTGTGTTAATACAAAACTGTACATATGTTATGCAAAAAAATTGTGCCTGTTTGAAAAAATTGTCACACGGCTTTTACGATGTAGACTTTTTTTACATCAGTGAAGATGATTTGTTTATTTTGTAATCTCTTGACAATGTTTTGGACACTAGCAACTAGAACTGTCACCCAGAGGTGACAGTTCTTTCATTGAATGGAAACTTTAGACTTGGTGGTCTAATTTTATGACAATATTAACAACACACTCATAGGAATTGAGATTTTTTACAAATGATGTTTATGCTTCTGAATTGACCAAACTTTGAGGAATCCTGCTGACTACTTGCTGTAGACTAAACTCTTATGATCAATTGCTGTGATTGTGCCAGTTGCAAGCATACCTTATAAATGTGTTTTTTATGCCCTTAACTGTCTAAAAATTGAAAAGCAATTCTAGTCTCACAGAAGACCATGCAAGTAACCTGATAGCAATTACATTGGTATGCAAAGAAAGGTGACCATCAGATGTTTTAGTAAACTTCAAAGCCCCAAATAGTTTATAATGTAAAAAAGTAAGGTCTATGAATACTTTATTTTGTATACCTTTCCTTGAAATGTCATAAACTGTGTAAACATGTTCATGTAGCATGTAAAGATTTTTGGCAAATCATGCCTTTACAGTATGCATTTTGTAAAATGCAACATCTGTTAGACATAATATATATATGAATTAGAAAGCCTTTGTATCCTGTACAATATTTCATTTTATTTGCCTTGCACTTGTATACATATTGCAGGTAGACCATGCTTTTATATGTATTGTATGACTACCATGTTTTATAACCTAGCAAGTCAATAAGTGCTTGATATGGTGAAAAAAATATCATTAAATCCAATGAACTGTAAAATATAATATTTGAACAATGTGCTACCTATTTATCTTGGCAGAATGTTCTCACCCATTGTTTGGATTCAGTGATGGTATTTTCAAACTCTCATCTTATGATTAGTCCATTAAACAAATTGGCCGTTATTGCTTGCCACTCACATAAAAGGTAAGTATCAACTAATAAGTCTTTATGGTGGTGTTTGTTTTTATACTTTCCTGATTCTGAAATTTATTTACCTTACTTTTATCTTTGGAGTCAAAATTAAATATTTTTAGTTCAGAACTGTTTGAGTGAGTATAAATTTTGAGTCATTTTCTAATTGTGGGAAAAAAACTTGACGCAAATGAACACAGTTTATTAAGTGCAAGCTTCAGGCTCATTTATGAACTTTTGTCAAGAAAAAGATAAACTGAATATTTATTTCTTGGCTGGTGAAGAAGTCATGAATGAATTTGAGAGTGTACATTTATTATAAGATGTAATTAGCTCAAAAGTTTTTGTTGACATGTATAAATATATTTTTTAATCTGTTATTAATTTGCATCATCATTTATATTGTATACAACTTTCCTGATTGTTTTTTGTCGTGAGTGAATAATAGGTGGTGATAACCATATATATTTGTGTAATGTAGAAGTGCAAACCAATAGAATAATTTTGTCTCAAAAAGTAATAGTTGTAATTGCTGCAAAAACAATACAGTTTAAAGAAACAGATCTAATATATATGTCGTTCATATCTAAACTTATAAAATGTATATCTCATATTTTACAAAATATCAACCATTAAATCCACACTAAAGGAACAATACCGAATATAACCGGAAACTAGTTTCAACATTTCACAACAAAAGTTGGACTGAAGAGGACATGTGAAAAGTTAAAACTAGTTTCCATTTGAATTTGATATTGTTCCGTTAATGTAGATTTAATCTTTATTGTAAATTATCTTACATGATATTATATATTTATCTCTTCTTTTTTTTATCAACTGTTAACTGTCAGTTCAGTAAGGAATTAACACTGTTTATATTAAAGGAGTTATCTATTGCTTTCCCAGTTTTCTTTAAGAATAAATTGAGACAGTTAACATGTATTTCTTTAGGATAATTAGTGCACTTCATTTTCAGTCAGTAAACTTTGTTTTAAATGTCTCGTTGGTACAGCTCTTTTCTATTCCCTAAACCTCAAAATGATGATTCTGAAGATGATCGCCCTACAGATGGTCAGTATGAACTCTTTGCCCAAATAGACAGATGTGTGAAAGATGGTGTGAAACAACTTGTTCTGGAAAGTAAGTCTTCCCTCTCATTTCCTGACTTCAAGAAAGGCTTTGTGGTATTTAAATATGTTATTAAGATTAAATTGAAACCTACATTAGCCCATTGAACTGATTGAAGACTTAGAAAAATCTTCAAAAATATCTGAACATAGCGGTAGATCCACTAGGTGGAACCTGTAGGCAGATTAGAAACAACTGTAAATATACGGATTCGGTTTGGAGTCTACGAGTTTCATCATCATTCATATTGTTACAGATCAGTACATGATAGAATTCGTAGGTTTCCAGCTGCAATGTTCCTGTTTTGTTTTAGCTGAAGAAGAAAGTGTTTCTTATTATTTGCACTACTCAAAAGGTGTTACTAATTCAGTTTTGTTTATTTTTTTCGTTGGAGTAATACTACAATTATTCAGTTGAGTCCACGATTATACTATAGTAGTTGGTTTTTTTCAGGGCTTAATTACTGACGAGACTAAGTTGTGGCTTTAAACTGCAAAGTAATGCTTGCCGACAATGTAAAACCTTTGTCAACTAAATCCACATAAGCTTTAATATGTTTGGCCCCAAGCAAATCCATGTCATCTTAAGTTGCTTGATCACAGTGCAAATCCTTTGTTGAATAAATCCACATAAACTTTAATCTCTTTTGCTTAATGCAAATCCTGTGTGAAGTAAATTCACATAACTTTTAAGCTGTTTAATCACATCACAAATCTTTTGTCAAGTAAATCCATGTCACTTTAACTCGTTTGATCATGGTGCAAGTCAATTAAATCTAGGTAAACTTTAACTTTTTGTAAAATAGTGTGAAGTAAATTCACATAAGTTTTAAGCTGTTTAATCACATCACAAATCTTTTGTCAAGTAAATCCATGTCACTTTAACTCGCTTGATCATGGTGCAAGTCAATTAAATCTAGGTAAACTTTAACTTTTTGTAAAATAGTGTGAAGTAAATTCACATAAGTTTTAAGCTGTTTAATCACATCACAAATCTTTTGTCAAGTAAATCCATGTCACTTTAACCCGCTTGATCATGGTGCAAGTCAATTAAATCTAGGTAAACTTTAACTTTGTGTAAAATAGTGTGAAGTAAATTCACATAAGTTTTAAGCTGTTTAATCACATCACAAATCTTTTGTCAAGTGAATCCATATGTTCTTAGTAAATGTAACCCATGTTGTGTATTTGTAGTGGTGAGAGGAGGGTATATCTCTTATCACATTAGCTACAGTACTTATGAAGATGTGGATGTGGAATTCATTTCAAACATAACATGAGCTAAATGACTCTGTGCCTTTCAGGTTAATCCTTATACTTCAATTAACAGGTTCCAAAAAAATGTTCAAGTGAAACCATGTTTGTCATTGTACTCATCCAAACAAACATGATAAACACATAACTAACACCCTATCATCAGTAAAAATATTATACATGTTTTACCCCCCATCATGCCCAAAGTTGAACAAAAAGTGCAGCCGGGCTAACTATTGAATGAAAATTTGTTGTAAATTCTTATCAATGCTATAAGTGTAGCTACCAGTTTGGCTGACAATTTTGATTTCATTCCTTTAAGTCGCACGCTGAATGCTTTTTTGGCTGCACTGTTTTTTTTCACACCTAATGTGTTTTTGATTAGATATACAGTAACAATGGTTCTAGGGTAAAACAAGCCTGGCTCTTAGCTACCAACACTTTCATTATCCAAATCTATATTTTATATAGCATAGTATATATATTCATCTCTTTGGGTAATCTATATGCTCGTAAAAACACACACAAACTTCCTTTTTTGCTAAAGTTTAAAATTATGTTTCTTTCTATAAAATGATTATCCAATTATTTTGAAATTATGTTAGAAGCAGAATTAAGGATGTTGATAATATATCTGCATTTAAGTTTATTTTTAGATAAATCACAGATGCTAAAGGGTTTATTTGATACATAAGAATGAGTATCTTTCTGTTTATAGTTTTATTGTAAATATATATATATACGTATATATTTGTTCTCTCATCCCTGTATTTATTTTTTAGGCCCACAAGAAACTCTTCATATGGAATCAGTTTTAGCAGGAGCCATGAGTATGGCCTTGTGTTGTATCCTTACATGTTCTATTACCTTGCTTTCATTAAAATCCTACTGCACAAAACTTCTTTCTTTATTCAGAAATTTAAAGTATGAAAAAAATCTTCATCTCAGGTTTTTTTGTCAAATATGATTATTCTAACATTAATCTTATAAATGAATGAAGAGAAGAAAAAAATGTTTTATTTGTAAATTTTTGCTCACCTCTTTTTTTTTTTGCACACACTTATGTCATTTTACACGTGGAAGTGTATGAAGAAGTAACTTTACCAGATGTACAATCCAGTCCTTCCCTACCTGATGTGTGTTGATACAGGAAGTGTATGAAGAAGTAACTTTACCAGATGTACAATCCAGTCCTTCCCTACCTGATGTGTGTTGATACAGGAAGTATATGAAGAAGTAACTTTACCAGATGTACAATCCAGTCCTTCCCTACCTGATGTGTGTTGATACATGAAGTGTATGAAGAAGTAACTTTACCAGATGTACAATCCAGTCCTTCCCTACCTGATGTGTGTTGATACAGGAAGTGTATGAAGAAGTAACTTTACCAGATGTACAAGCTATTCCTTCCCTGTCTCATATGTGTTGGTACAAGGCTTTGGGTTTTTGTAGCTATCCATAATTTGCAAGGTAAATCACATATGGAATCAGCAAATGTAAATAGTAATGATTAAGGGTCTCTATTACTGAAGAAAGTTTGTATTTGAATATATTAACATTCCTGATATCCAGGGATACCAAAGTGGAAAAACAGATTTCTAGTATAAATGATGGGATTTGTTGGATTTCCCAGTACATGAGATCATTCTGGGATCAAGTATATTTACTTAGGCATACAAAACTTGGCAGTATTTTAATAGATTATGATGGGATTTTACTGCTCATGAATAAATGATGTATTTGTGAAATGTAACTCAATCCAGTAACTTTAATAGAGTTGAAGTGTCTGATGTAAAAAGATATGATCATTCAATCTGAAAGTTTCACTTGTAATGTATCATTATAAAACCAAACAGAAGATTCAATGAATATATGATATTACAGAATAGTGCTAAATGTTTACTGGCTGAATTTAAGCTAAAGAATGAACAGACTGGATGCAAAATGTAAAACACAATGACAACAATCTTTATTAATACTTAAGACAAAAATAATAGCATGTATACCTGCTTTTCATGGACTGTTGTTTCTTCAATTTTAGTTAAAGATGCAATGAAGACCAGAGCAAGGCCAATTAATGCAGGTCTTTAAGCTTCCAAGAAACCTTGCTTTGACCCAGCATGACACAAGTTGCCATATGACAACTTTGAAAATGACGGAGGATCAAAAGGAACAAATTATATTCTAAATTGAATAAGACTTGAATTATACTGAGACACTAGTTGTGCCTGTTTAACAGAACTTAAATTATACAGTATACTCAAAGCTATGCCTGTTCAATTTAACTTCAGTTATAGTGTACTTATAGTTGTCTTTTTTAACAGAACAGTGTTCTCGTTGCTAAGCCTTTTTACATGAAGGAACTACTACTATGACACAATATGGAATCTTATATAAATTTAGACTTTACTTCTCTCTGGAAAAAGCTAGACTTATGATGGCATAAACACATGAAATATGATACTTAGGTAAGTGTTTATGTTGTATTAATGCTACAACATAAGAAAACTTAACCAGAACTGACAGATATCCACAGAATAGAAAGAGAAGAGAAATCTAGGCAAAAGTTGTCTGCAAGAATTTTGGTAAGGTTTTGTGTAAATGTTTGAGTATTTTTCTCTACAAAAACTGTCATAATTTATAGTGTTAATGAAAGAGACTGATTTATATGTCTGTATTATAAAATAAAATATGAAAGAACTTGTGTTTTCATAAAATTCACACTCTGTTTGACTCTTAGTGTTTAGACGTTGTGTTATTTATCATATTTTCAAAACTATAATTTTTTATCTAGATTGGGTGTTAATAATAAAAGTAAAAATTTACAATAATGTGAATTATGTTGGTCAGATAGTTTATCTTGCCATATTATGACTTATTTGTGATTTTTTTTTATGTATGTATGTATAAAAAGTTTTCTTTCTGGACAACAGAAGGGTGAAACATTTTAATCTCAGTCCACCTAGTATACCACGATTTGTGTTTGCTAGAAGTTTTTAGCAGTTTGTATCTAACCCACCAGGGTTTTGGCAACTTGTATCTTAGCTCATTGTTTGAATCTAGTGTATTAGAAGCTTTGGCAGTATGTACTTAACTCTCCAGAAACTACGCGACTTAATTCTAAAGTGAGTATGATTGAAAAGCTACAAGTCACTTAATTTTAAAGCTACTATGACTTGAACGTGTTAAATATATATATGGTGAAGTGTAATGTAAGTCAATATATGGAAATGAACAATGTTGTGCTACCTTCAGCAAATCATTGTTTTTCTATCACCAGGTGGTGACAGCCTCAGGAGACAGTGCAGCACAATATATGAATTTCATGAATGTCTTCTTCACTGCTCAGAAACAGGTACATTTTACACTTGAACTATGGTTTAACTTTTTCCATACAGGATCAGTCGACGTGACCAACCTTTTAACCATCAGAGTTTTCTTACTGTAACTTGTAATACGTTTTGTGTATCTTCATGAAATCTGTCGAGTTTTCAGCAAACATTTCGGGTCTTTTGTTCACAAAAAAAAGATTTGTCCATAAATATATAGAGTCAGAGTGCTGACTGCTCCAAGTATAAGGTGATTTTAATATTACTATTAAAATATTTTTCTTCATCTGAAAAATTCTGACATTTCATTTGCATAACCTATAAATAAATATCAAACTTTTTTTTTACTGAAACTTTATTTTATCTGTTATTTTTTCTACCCTAACTGTATACAGAATAATTTTATTTGACCAACCTTGTAACCACCATAAAAAAACTAAATAAATCTAAATTTTCCTCTCTTTTGCATGGTTAAAAGGCCAGAATAGTTATAGGACATTGTTGGCTTTGTGAGTGTTATTATTCTGTGTTCTTAGCTGCATTACTTAATTAATTATTTAGTTTATTAGTACCAATAGTATAAAATTGTAGGCATACTTTCATCAACAGTTGACAGGTAAAAAACAAGAAACCAAAGTACTATACTTCTTGTTTTCCATGCATATAAGTAGGGGAAAAAAGTTTAAATTCTAACCGAAAGTAAGGATCATTGGTTATTCGAAGAATTGCTATAAGAAGTATCCAAAACAAAATAAATGCTGCAATAAATATTACACAAACATGTAAAGTGATACTAGTTGGATACATTTTCAATTCCTACTTTGGTTGGCAAATTTAGACTGCTTCATTTAGCTATACAGATCAATTCTATGAATAACCAACGATCCCTCTTTCAGTTAAAATTCTAATTTTTTTTTTATTTATATGTCCATGGAATGAACACAACAGCTATAAACTTTTATTATAGCCATATCTCTGATAGCTATAACTTTTTCAACAATTAAAACCACAATCACAAATTTATAAAATGTAATCCTTACTTTGGCTTACAGATAAGTGTATAAAGCTGCCAAAGTAGGGATTAAATTATACAAGTTTGTGATTATGGTTTTAAATCTTGTTCCATTACTTTTTGTAGCAGGATTCCTACTTAATTTTAAAATTCATAATTTCTTAATACTCTTGTTTGTTTACTTTTATGTTATACCTGTATAAAGTATATACTTTACCTTTAGAAACTGTCACATGTCTATCCATCAATATGTAGCACCATCTGTTGGTTTGACTTAAGTTGAAGAGATATTTAAGTATGTGCATGATATGTTTACCATTTATAAAAAATCTGTAAATATTTATGGGAATATCAAAAGCAAGTATCCTCAAACCAGTCAAGTAAGCTGGAGAAATCTTGTAGTGATAGTCTAAGCCATTTAGGGGCTAGCCCCGCTGACGTGATCAGGTAAGTAAGTTGTAAGACAAAAAAAGTTGCTGTTTTAGAAAATTTTGAATTGTTATACCTGAAATGTTACTTACCTTTCTAGCTTATTATATGCACATAATATATTGTAACCAATACTTTGAATGGTTGTATTTTTTCTTAGGAATTCAATAGGATGGTTTTCTGGCACATGAATTATTTGGAAACCTTGTCAATCTTTACTGTTAAGTACCACCATACTTAATAATTCTTTATTTATTATTATAAAAGTAATTAAAATGTAAAAATCAGAAACTTTTTAGGTTAGATAATAAAAAATAATAATGATAAAAACCTTCATGAAGTTTGCTTGTTAGGAGCTCATGCATTACTTAATTCAATACAGTAATATGAGCTACACTTTCAACGAGTGATTTGGAACTTGTGTGGTAGGCTTGTTAGTTAGGCATGGTTCAAAGACAATAAAATTAAGTAAGAACAGATGTATACTGTTATGAGCTTTAAGCTATTTAGGATAAACAATTGTTCTTTCTTGTTACAACTTGCAATCATTCTGTAAAGAAAAAAGGGTAATTTAGATTTATATTGTAGTTTGTTATGGTGGTTACAAAGTTGGTCAAATTGACTGACCTCATATAAAGTTAAGGTGAAGATAAAATATAAACAAAAAAAAAGTTGATATTTATTTAGGAGGTTTTGGAGATTACAAAATGAAATATGAAAATATGCACTCGGAGCAGTTAACACTATGATTCCATGTGTTCACAGACAGATTTTTAGTAAAAATGCATCATTAAAAAATCTGATTTTTTGGCTAAAAAAGACTTGTAATATTTACTAAATGCTTGAAGAATTTTGTGAAGGTACATAAATTGTTTTAAAAATTATATTATGGAAACTGATGGTTACTTTGGGTTTACGAGGTTTGTGAAATCCATCAATCCCAGTATGTGATAATGTGTAGTATATTAACTTTACAGAACCAGTATGTGATAATGTGTAGTATATTAACTTTACAGAACCAGTATGTGATAATGTGTAGTATATTAACTTTACAGAACCAGTATGTGATAATGTGTAGGTATTAACTTTACAGAACCAGTATGTAATAATGTGTAGTGTATTCACTTTACAGAACCAGTATTTGTTACTGTGTAATATATTAATTCTAAGGAACCAATATGTGATATCAATCAAATAAAATTCATGGCAGGAATTTATGTTTAAAAATATTTGAGGTCTCAGAATTAATTTCTGGAGCCTGAAAGACAACCAGGGATAGTCAGAAACTTTTATTTCTCTTCACCCTGCACGTTGAGAGATTAAGTGCCAAACAAAGTTGTATCGAGCCACTGGGCTTAGATTAGATATAAACATGTAGAGAGAAATTTTGATGGATGCGCATAGTTAAGGAAGATGCCAACTTAATCATGCTGGGAAAGCTATGGAGAGACCGCCATTTTGCAGTTTGTGTGGAACATGTGTGAATGTTTATCCATGTGGCAATGAAGTTGGTTGAATACCATAGTCGTCATGATAGAAGGAGCAGAGAGATGCAGGCCGAGTGAACATGATTTTGTTTTGAGAGATTGCTTGGAAGAAATTTTATTAAAGTTAAGGAGATTTTATAGAATTTTGATAATGAACTATGACCAGTTAGTCATGGTGGTTAGTCTTATGGACTTACTAGATTAACGGCCCTTTTGTGGGGGGGGCTGGGATAGAATATCCTATGCCCTGTGAAATTTTGTTGCAGGGGGAAACCGGAGTGCCCAGAGAAAACCTACTTTCACGGGTCAGGTGATGAATAATCTACCTGACCCGTGCCCAAAATGCAAGGCTAAAAGGGGGGGGGAGATTGGTTAGTACATGAATATTATACACTGTTGATATAGTTGAATGGAGATATGTATGTTTGCCACGTAGAGGGTATGGCTGCTAGGATGGAAAAGATACTTGTTTGACTGTTTCTGTTTAGGGCTTTGCTGTAATATTTTTGGGCTAGAGT